AACAGAACATCAAATATTTACACAGGAGGCAAATCTCACCGCTGTGCTATACAACAGCACTGCAATAAATCAACTTTGAGAAGCTTCAGATGAAGAGATTTTTCTTGACTGTCGACAACTGATGTTGTACTAGAAAGAGAAGAGGTGCATTAAATAGTATATCTTTATGTATGTAAACAAAGAGTTTGTCTGTTATTACTTTGTTATACATGTAAATAAAGTGGACAAAATTGGAAGCACCTTTTAAACGAACACAATACCAAAAAAAACATTACCTTAATGTCAACATATCATAACATATATGGTAAAGGGCGTACAGTACATGCAACCTTCTACAACACCACTGAAATATAAACCCTAATAAATTGTTAACCATGCATTGCAGTAGAACATTTGTCCAAGAACACATTTCATCAGTCAGAATTAAACTTTCTGTGATGTTTCTGCCCCAGCATGCTCATTTGCATTGGTTGCAATGCATACTAATGAATGGATGCACAGACAGAAGCACCATCGATAGTGAGAGACACCATATTCTTATTAAAATCCTCATCTGGAACAAATTAGGTCAGAGAACAGAGGCTGTGGGGATTTGCAAAGCGGTTTAATTGTAGTAATGATTCAAGTCAAGAGTGAAAGTGAGAACAGTTTTTCATTTGGGACAATACTTACATCTCCTAAGACTAATAGGTGTTTCAACTTTTGATTTAAATTAAAGATTGGTGCTTGTGGGAACACTTTGGTGTCCTAATATATGATTTCATTAGTTTCTCAATTAGAGATAAAAGGTTTGTCATGACCCACAGGATGCAAGATGAAGCTTTAATTCCCTAAAAGGCTAGTTACACCTCCATCTTGCTTTAAAGTCACCGTGGGGCTGCATGTGATGTGAAAAAACAATTTTGTGTGAAGTGAAACCTATAAAATCCAGCTGCCTTGAAACATTGAAGGGAGCAAAATAATCTCTGCACAGTGACTTAGAGGGCTTCTATTGGAACTCTCCAGCGCTCTCTAGATCCTTAAACCCAGCCCTGCAGAGGCCCTCCAGACTCTCAGCTCACATAATCTCTCCCTCACACACCAGGCTGTGCAGAAACACAAGAGGAGAGCAGGAAGTACACCCAGGCCTGCCAGGAGGAGAGCAGACGATCTGGAGAGCTGCTGTTCAGTCTGCCCTTTGGACTTCTTCTCAAGAGTAAAAGTAAAGCTTTGTCTGCCTCCTGCAATTCTTCTCATTCATATTGTTTAAATGTCTACCAGGTGTGCACAGGTATCCCTCCATATGTCTGGAATTAACCGATTTTGCATGTTAGCAGTTAACAGTAAAAAAGCTTCAAAGTAAAAGGTTAATGTATTCTTGTATTAATATCACTATATAAGCATACTAAGTTACATCGGTTATCTGTTCATTAAGGCTGTCTTTTCACACTAAAATGGTCCTGACGTCCTCTACAGTGGACATACTGTAACATTTAAAATTACATTACATTTAAAAAGTCTAAATTGCAAGATGTTTTTTTAACCATAAACAGGTAGGAGAAAAAAATAAATAATTGGAAGACACTTTTTTTCCTCAGTTCCAGGAGGATATGAGGGACAGCAATTGAGTTTCACCTTGATTTCGCACAGGACTGACAAAGTTAACGCCATTAACGTTCCTCCAATCCCAGCGCTCAGGTAGAGCAGCCGCCATCTTGGCCAAACCAGCTTTGACTGGCATAGGCCGAACACGCCTAAAGAGAAAAAGTAAGAATCAGAATTAAATAAAAATGATGTTAAGACATTTTGCATGGAAAAACTGTTTTAAACAGAACGCCTCATACTATAGAAATGAAGGCATGACAACTTAAAGGTGGATCTGTTAAACCAAGTAATATCGGAATGTTTTAACAGATGGGTTCAATTCAAGCAGAAGTCCATTGTACTGTTCTTACTACCATTGTAAGAATGTGTTCGTTCTGAAGGATTAGGTCTCTAAAAGATAGCCAATGGACTTTGGAGCCCTTATAACGCATTCCATTAGAATGAAAAGAAAAGGCCAACATAAACGTTTTGGATATTAGAATAGGCAAGGCAAAACCAGTTTATTTATATAGCCCCTTTCAACACAAGGTAATTCAAAGTGCTTTAAGAAATAGTGCAGCTGAATCACATTAGAAATTGACAATGCAATAAAATCCCTTCCACATTTGCAACCATCTGCCAATATCCGTCATCTGTTCAGTTGATGGTGTACTGGTAGTGTGTATAAAAGCACTTCCACACACCTCCTTACTAAATGAATGCAACAAGCTAAGCAGGGCTCATTTTAAACGTAATAATTATTGGTTTAAATAGTAATTGAGCACAATAGTTATGACATAGGAGACAAATATGACTTATTAATGTGCATTCATGTGTTTTTCCCATTGTGATATACTATGGGAGATGCAGGTGATCACTCACTGAGGGATGCGGGAGGCGGGCCCTCCTGCGCGGTACTGCAGCTCCCTCAGAGTGAACAGCTCGTGCTCGGGGTAGGCCGCAGCCTTCCAGGACTTCTGGACAGAGTTGATTAAATCAACAAAGTCCAGGTTGTGTTTGTACGGCTTCTCGAGCAGCCTGGAGGTTGAACACAGTCACATATAAAGGTATTGTGTGTCACACAAACAAAAGCAAAAAAGCTGGGTTAAAAGCTCAAATGACCTTACCAATGTTAGATAGTTAACATGTACAGCTTTGACAATATGCAGACATCTGACTACTGTGCAATAAAATAGTACAGAAGCACTGCAATAAGAAACTATAACATCTGCTAGTACAGTTTAACTTGGAATAAAGACCTGCTAAGACATTGTCCAGTTTTTGATACAACTTCATAAAAGAGGTTTACAGCTAAATTGTTCCCTGGAGTGCTAAGGACATCATTCAAATTTGATGGTAGGAAAACTCCCAACACCATAAGTGTATTTTTCATCCAGATTACTATCTGACAAGGCAGACCTACAGAGTTCACACCCTCAACTACAGAATCATGTGCAGAAAATATCCACGCCAGCCAAGAGACAACTTGTCAAATGTGACAAAAGTTGTCACAACTTGCATGCTGGATACCTGCAGATTGTGTTATTTACAGATTATAATTGCAAAGTATAAATGTTTCAGTAGCTATTGTAAGCCTCCTCCATGTGAGGAAAAGTAAGGAACGGTCATGCTTTAATATCAGATATGAATTTAGATTCCAGGCCCTTATGAATGGCCTACTGAGGGTGAGGGTTCTCATCACAGAAGGGACTAGAAATGTATAAATAAAGCGGAAAGGTCAAAACTGCAGAGTTCACTGAAAGCAGAGATCCTCAGCATTGCATGTGTTTAGAGACTCTATACAATAATATTCCGATGTTTTGCTCTCTAGTTTGTGTAAGTTACGTTAGCTTGAGTACCCACTACCGAGCTATTATAATGTACGTACCTGCTGCTGAAGAGTGGTTTGTAATCTATTTGGGGTGGTACTGATTTCACTTTCTTCCCCACGAAACAGGCCCAGTTGTGTCCCAGGACATCATGGACCCACCCCGGCATGGTCTGGTCACAGTAGCTGGTCACCTTAGGCCCGTCTTCAGTGTACTGCAAGTGAAGTGAGACAATCAGATTAGTCGTTTGGTGTCCAATATGCAATTGTATGTAAATACAAAACCTGAATGATTAGATTATTTCCTAAAGTAATATATTTTCAAAACATATTTCGTTATTATGTTCCATCCAAAGCCTTAATCAACAAAAACCTCCCTAATCCTCACAACTTGCTACTTTTAGCCAAGTCAAGTCTAGAAAAATAGGGAAGTTGAATAAATATGAACAGCTTTAATCCAATCACGGGTTAGAAACAGACAGGCTATAGGCTTGTTTGAGACAAGCGAGACCTGCGCAATTTCGATCAACGTCTTGCTCGTGCGTTGCATGATGGTTAGTCATTTTGTCCGACCTGCTCTGGAGGCTCGCCTCACATGAGACGTTGAAATCTCGCGGGACAAAGACGCCCGCAGCCTTGAGAGCGAGGCGAGGCGCGGCGAGGCGGCGCAGTTCCTCTCCACGGGCTGCGGAAGCGAAATGCTTGATGGGAAACGACTCGCTGGTATCTCGAGCTGAGCGCTCATTGGTGGTTTTTACCACGTGCTGCTGATGAAACTCTCCAATTGGCTCGGCAAAAGTTTGTTGTTGTTTTGTGTCAGTTTTACGTCGCCACTTCCATTCACATTTTTCATAATTGTTCCACAATGTTTATCATCATGAAATTAATATCTATATATGTTATACTATACTTGCACTGCTTACCGTTTTCATACTTTATATATCTTAGCATATTCATACACACTGTTCATACTGCTCACAGGCTGCTGTGTATATCTAGTGTATTCATACCCCTCACTGTTTATTCATCATTCAATTCATTCTATCTTTTATTCTGTAGATTGTGTACACTAGTTTTCACTTTACTGCTTGTTGCACTCCTGGTTGGAAGCTAAACTGCATTTCGTTGTCTCAGTACCTGTAATATGTGCAATAACAATAAAGTTTAATCCAATCTTGAGCAGGAACAAATGTATTTACTTAGTACATATCTGACATTAACGATTAAACACATGTGTGCATTCTTTAGAAATGCAAACCGAGTCAAGCCGACTCCGGAGGTGGCGGTATGCACCTTAAAGTTGTTTGCAATCCGCCAAAAAACCGAGAGAAGAAGAAGAAAAAGGCGAAGAAGAAGAAGGCGAAGAAGAAGAAGCCGACTCGGAGCTG